CTTGCGACGAGCTGATCACTCGCCCAAGGAGTCCTACCGAATGTGTAAGATCTAGAAAAACCGAAGTGAACGGAGAAGTTCATGGAGGTAGGCCTAGGCCCACTGGGGCTGTAGTGCCAAGGGGAAAAAAAAAGACGTTTGCACATATTCGCCAAGATCATATCAGTCCAAAATCAAATTTTATAGACTTCTGTAGAGTCCTAAAATAGATTAAAAATTCGGACAAACATAAGCGAAACCTTACCATTTACCGATTAATTAAACGTGTTCTATACATACAGTACATAAACATCAGACAGCTCTCGTCGTGTACATGTCTCTATTCCCGTTCTTTCTTCACGTCTTGGACATCAGGATGTTCCTCTTCCTCCTTTAGGCACTTACGTTTTATAATTTTAATTTGTTCGTCAGTTATATAAACCTTCATAACATACAGATAAAATAATTTTGCACTTCTTTTTGAGATGCAGCACAGATGGTCTAGTGGTCAGAGATCCTGGCTACAGATTCAGAGGTCCGGGTTCGATTCCCGGCGCTACCATATTTTCTGAGAAGTAGTGGGTCTGGAACGGGGTCCACTCAGCCTCGTGAGGATAATTGAGGAGCTATTTCAAGGAAATAACGGCTCCGGTCTAGAAAACTGAAATTAACGGCCATGGGGATTCGTTGCACTGACCATGCGACACCCTCTGTCGGTAGTTTGCATTAACTTCGCCGACAAGCGACGGTAGCTCGATCGGTGTAGTTGGCGTGTGGACTCAAGCCACGGAGTTCGTTTTGTACAGATGGTATATAATTCCGAAATGAACAATATAACAAGGTTATGACGCCGATTTTCCATGGCAACCTGTCACTTTCATCCCATTCCACTGCAAGGCCTCTTAATACAAATGTGTAATTACTGTTTTTATTCTGTCCAGATATCGATTGAACTGAAACATCAGCCCAAGTCTGCTCTGAGGAAGGGTGCGGAGGACACGTGGACACTGAAAATAAAACACACGCCCAAAACATTTCAAATACACAGAAACGTACATGGCTTCTATTATAATAACAATGAAGTTCCAGTGGTTAATAAATCATCAAAATATAACAAGAACCCTTGGCAACAGATCATCGATGCCATAGATACCGACGCTGAAGACGCCGATGTCCCGGTATATAATAAATTCCGCCGGTCTGCCAAACCAAAGAAGGGGAAATCTCGACGTCAATTATCCCCAAAATCACAGATCACTAGAGAAATGAGAGCCAGTATCACACAGCTGAACGATACGGTGATCCAGCCTGTTTTACAGGAACCGCCAATCATGAAACAAGTAGTTCAAGAGAATCAACAGCTGCGAGTTGCATTTAACAGACTTGATAATGACACAAGTCAAATGGGAAACACTGATGAATCATTTCAAGAATTAAATGAGACACCATGGGACAATGTTGCAGCTGTGATGTTGGAGTCCGTCGCAAATCATAGTCTGTCAGTCGAAAAGAGCCTGGATCAGCAAGAGTCCACAGACAGTGGCGCTGATCGGGAGCAAGAAGAACTACTGGAAGCAGACGCATTGCCGCTAGAGCAGTCTGAAGAGGGAGACGAATTAGAAGTAAATAAAGGAACTGCCTCATTTCATGACACAAGAGAAAACAGAACTGTTCATACACGTAATTATGATAATGAGGCATGGAACCGAACTGAAGGAGTGGACGCCGATGCTGAGGAAGAGGAGAATTCGAGAAACTCGACGGAAGGAGCTGAAGTAGCTGCCATTTTGAATGGAGAACACGTCCTTAGTGAATCGGATTATGTAGTAGAAGATCCAACAGTGAGAGAATATGATAAAGAGGACGGAGAACTAGAAGATAATTACGATAACATGGGGGTTGGACGTGGGGACTCCGAGCCTACATCCGAAATGAAAAGAATTATGGACTGGTTTCCAAGATCAAAATTGTTAACCACGGAGAACAACGGATACAAGTTATTTCCTGGGGTAAGTTCACGTAACAAAAGGAACACTAATACTCAATTGTGGTGGCGCTCGGTGGCGCAGTTGATGGAGGCACTATGCTACAAGCTGGAAGGTCGTGGGTTCGATTCCCGATGAGATCATGGATTTTTTTTTCAATTTACCTAATCCTTCCAGCCGCACTGTGGCCCTGGAGGTTGACTCAGCCTCTAACAGAAATGACTACCAGGAATCTTCCTGGGGGTAAAGGGCGGCCGGCGCGTAAGGCTGACAACCTTACCGCCATCTGTGAGTCGATTGTCTAGAAAATGTGGGAGACTCAAAGTCTCACAATCCTATGGGCCTTCACGGCCTGTTGCAGGGATCTTTGCTCTTAAGAATCAAATGTCAACAGATCTCTCCCGGAAGAACTCACTTCTTAGACAAAAGGCTCCAAAGGGAAGAGATGCTTGAAAGATCTGATATCTGTAGGCTATACTTCAAGTCAGATTTCTTAAATTGAACAAATATATTCATTCATCTCCTAGAATTATTTAAAATTTTAGTTGAATATTTAAAAATTATTAGATACTGAATTATACCACAAGGCATATCCCTAGGTCCAATAATTTCCCGAGTTATAGGACAGCTCATTTTAATAAAATCAGTATTTTACTTCCCTGATATTATTTCGCCTTACTGAAAATTCTTTTCTAATTATAATATGCGTTGAAATTCATTCCACTTTCTCGTGATTAAATTTCATTCTTAAAATAAGTATCATATATTTACATATGGCCTACAAATACTCGTTTTACTATTAAAAGTACACGGGAATTACTTCGTAAGTATGGATCAGCAAGTACCACAAGAAAGCAACTTATAAGGAACTTCCAAGTAAGGCATTATGGCCGTGATAATAAAAAGACATTTTTAGTTTCTGCATACATCAGTGACAACTCCACTATCACGTTTCCTAAACCATCTAGGTAGAAAGCCTGAGACAACATCCATAGCTCAATGGGTATTGTGACTAAGCTCAGGGTTCGATTCCCGGCGGTGACGGACCAGCGTTCAGACTAGCTATGGAGCCAACTCCGCCTCTAGGCAAATGATACCAAGGGCTTCTTTTCCCGGGGCTAAACTGGCCGGACCGTGATTCTAACCACTCACGTCTATCTAGTGAAGAATTTTAAGAAAATTTTGAGTAACATCACAGTAATAAGGCCAAAATTATGTATGTATGCATAAATTCATGTATGTATTTTCTGACAGGTGGGCTGGTTCAAGCTGATTACGTGGCCGGAGCGTTGGTCCAATGCGCAGAAGGTGTGTAAATTAGAGATGGCGCATCTAGCAGTGCCCGATACGAGGCAGAAAGTACGGGTATTCCTGCAGATATTTAAGAATTATCCCGACGTGTTGGAGCAAGCCATCCTGCAAAGACAGGTGTACGTGGGTGTACACAGCTCGGGACAGGATAGAAATTTCAGCACAGTGCTCGGTAAGTTCACACGCAGCTCCGCCATTCATCAGTGCATGTGGACAACTGGAGCCTTTGTTCTGCACCGTCTCTCTTCACGAGGAATGAACAGAGGATGCGGGTCCTTCAGAACAGAAGTTGAATAGAAGAGCGATGTTTGAAGTTTTCACGGCCGTAACTCTGAACATTTCCGCCTTCTGTCATCTGACGCCTTGTTATCTGGTTGCTAGGTTCTTTCACTCTGAGTATGAAGACAAGAGGTTCCATTGAGAATTGTTACACGTATTAATCTCCCTTAATAGATGATGTCACATCTCAGAAAGATTACAAAAATCTCACATTCATCTCTCAGTATATTTCTGTGCTGATAACTGAAAATGCGAGTTAGTTAAACCTGGTCAAAATGATGTAACTGCATCACACAATTCTCCGTACTAAAAAGATAAAACGTGTTATGTCGTCAAGCACAACACTTCATTCAGTGATACTGTGCAAACAAACAACAAACTCCGTGGTTTTAGTCCGCAAGCGAACTATACCGACCGAGTGACCGCCGCTTGTCAGCGAAGTTAGTGAAAACTTTAACGGATAGAGGGTGTCGCGTGGTCAGCGCAACGGATCGTAACGGCCGATAATTTCGGTTTTCTAGACCGGAGCCGCAATACTCAGATAGCCCTCAAAATCCCAGTTGATTTTATATGTACCAGTTTAACACACTACAACCCTGCTTTCTGTCTATAAACTCTATTTGTGTGTTTTGTATGGTTCTTACAACAAGCAACTTTTGTTTTCCTAAACAACATCAAATGTTTTTATTTGTAGAGGAAATGTAATGTGATTTCTGTGAGGTACGAACTGGAATTCCTATATATCATTTAGAATAAACTCACAGAAAAATATGGGACATGGGTCCCTCGGGTTCCGAAACAATGATGACTGTGCTGGCGAAGACCAGCAGTAAGTTACAGATCAATTTTTACAGGGCGAAACATATTTCTTTACATACACGTATCTGTTATGTACTATGACTTAATCCTAGTTCTCATAACACACGATATTTTCTAACAACACATTATTTCTATTGGTTATTTCGTTAACTTGTTGAGTGATTTCTTCTTTCGCTGATACTGTCAAACCAAAATGTCCGATATCTCTTTATGTTATGTTAACTGTTAAATAATTATGTCTTAAATTATTTTTTTCTGTTATAAACATACTAATTCCAACTTATCGAGCTCCATAATTTACAATTTATACTGTATTTTATCATCAGTCATTCTATCCAAATGTTTCATGTAATTTATTTTGTATTGGTTGTGATATTTTTCAATAATATCTTCATTTTCATTACTGTCTATCGTAGTACCCCTTTTATCTGGTAAGGCAGTTCTTCAATTTGTTACATTAATGATTTTTGTGCCCCGCAGGCAAGCCGTTTCTCCCGAAATTCCCGATCTGGTTCCCGAACGAACCCGACAATGCAGATCCTGGGGAAGACTGCGTTACCTTCCACGCGGAAGGAAAGATCCGGGACGTGCCCTGCTTCTATAACCTGCCCTTCCTTTGCGAGAAAGAACTTGATGACTCCTGGACGACAAGAGAACCGGATGCCAGCTTCTACTTTCCGCCTTCGGAACATTTCGATTAGCTGCATCAGTTGGTGTGTAAGGACTCGAGAGAAAGGAAAAACCATAAGGAGCTTCATTATTTACTGTCTTCATCAGAGAGTTTTTCAGTTTCTTGGGTGGGGTGTCCGCTTAGTACGCCGGCCACGATTTAGTCTATTGTACCAGCCCCGGACGGTAGATGAGTGTGGAGTAGTTGGTAGAATTGGCAGGGGAAACTGAAGTACTAGGAGGAAACTTTCCCCAGTTTTACTTTGTTCGCCACAAATCTCACATTACTTGACCTGGGCTCGAACCCGGGCGACTAACCGCCTGATCCATAACACCGCCCTTCATTAGATAACATTAGGGCATACTAACCCTGCTATTGGGTATTTTCACCGTTTGGTAGTTAATTGTGTTTCTGACATTTCGGAGGAATATTCTGCTCCCATTTTCGAGATCCAAGTGAATATTATTACTGTGTATACACGTTATAAGTTGCAGATCCAACAGATTCAGGAGTGGGGGAAAGGTTGCTTGTCTGGACAGCGTCAACAGAAATGGTGAATAACGGGAATTATGACCAAGACGGCCCTTATCCTATGTACATTCACTCTGAAGATGAAAGCAGCGTGTTCCTCCGAAAAGCCGGCAACACGGACCACTATCACACGGTTCAAATAACCAAAAGGTGAATCATCATGAAAACCTAAAATTTCTGTCATTACGATAAAGAAATCAAGAGAAAAGATTGGAGGCGCACGTGGCACGCATGGGAGTCATGAGAATTATATACAGAACTTTGGTCCAAAAATCCTATAGGGAAGCAACAACTTTGAATACCTAGATGTAGACGGGAGGAAAGCTTTAACGTGGATCATAGATAAATGGATTATTTGGCTCAAGATATATCGGCCTATAATCGTCAGTTCTTGCGATCATTGTAATGTACTTCCGGGTTCCATAAGATTTTAAGATTTTATAAGACTATATTAGTCGGATACTATGTAATGAAGACGCAGTTTTTTTCTATGAGAAATAGAATGTGTTCAAATATTATTCAGTTTAACAAGCAATTATAGCTAAGGAGAATGGTTGTCTTAGGTAGGCCGCAAACCGGCATGCGTCAAGACACGATGTCTGTAACATGACACAGAGAAAGAAGCACAGTTGAAAGGAATGAGATTATGAAAACCACCGCACACCGGTCTGAGTCATGACGTCAGCATCATGACTCAGACCGGTGTGCGGGGGTTTTCATAATCTCATTCGTTTCAACTGTCCTCCTTTCTTTGTGTCATGTCACAGACATCGTGCCTTGACTGTTACATGTCTTGACGCATGCCGGTGTGCGGCCTACATTACACATTCAAAACCGGAATATCAAGTACAGTGTTAATTAAATACGATGGGCCAAAGAATGTCTTAGTTTTAGGGAACAAGTGGGTTCACCATCATGTTCACAAAAAAAAAAAATTAAAACGACCCTACAGTAAAAAGTAAAGCTGTCCCTGTACCAGGCCGTGAAGGCCCATAGGGTTGTGAGACGTTGAGGATCCCACATTATCTAGACAATCGGCTCAAAGATGGCGGTAAAATTGTCAACCTTACGCGCCGGTCGGGCTTTACTCCCCAGGAAAATTATTTAATTAATTCCTGGTACTAATTTCTGATAGAGGCTGAGTCGACCCCAGGGCCATAGTGAGGTTGGAAGGATTAGGTCAATTGAAGAAAATCCAATGACCTCATCGGGACTTGAACCCGCGACCTTCCGGCTTGTAGCATAGCCCCTCAACCAACTACGCTACCGAAAATTCAAAACATTCCACAAAATATTCTCATTTGTTTCCTTGAGATAATTTATAATATTATTCTCACATGTAAGCACAAACCTCCAAACTATCTCAGTTCTTGAGATCTCCCGATCAATTATTGTACGAATTTTTAATTTCTTCCATGCGTTCTATATGTACCGCACATCTCAACTACGTTTACTCGCTGTACGAGGGTTGGGATAGGAATTCAAAGTATGAAGCTCCTCATTGTAGTGTATTTGCAGTGCCCGCGCAGAAATATACACACTCCAATTAGAGTAATGTTTTCCGTAGTTCGTAGTGGGTCTAGGGTCTCGGGTTCACACACGTGTCGCTGTGCTTTCACAACAGGTGCCGTTACCATGGTTACCATGAAAATATATTCATTGCCATCATGGTTCCAATTATCTCCTTATAATAGAAAGAATTTGGTTTGGACTTGAACCCATGCACGTAACAGAAAAATCAACAAATTCCTTAGCGTTTAACTTCACAAAAGAATAACTTTTTATTTACACTTATCAGCTGAAATTATAAGTTTTATAGATACGTTGTGTGACGTGGAGTTTGACGGGTGGGGTTGGGTTGGGTAAACTGTTGCTGGTTCTCGCCAGCAAATGCATCCTTGGTTCCGATTATGTGGAACACATGACGATATTTTGCTGTCACGTTACTATGGGAGCCGTGCAAATCTGGTCAGACGGGACACTCAGAACTGTATATATTAGTATAGAGTTTCCTTGTCCTCCTGTTACGTAATATAGTTCAGGTTCCAATAATTATATGCGAGACGCCTGTTCTTACTACTTACATGTGCATCGTAAAACAGTAATATTCCTGCAAGCTGTTCTGCTGTTTCAATGTGGAACATTCTCTCAAACTTTGTGATACCACAAGCCCCTAAAATAATATTTAAATGAAGCGACCCGGCCATTAAACTTCCCGGTCAGCGAAAATTACCTTTCTGCACAATGTTTCAGGTCCACATCAGACTGTACTGTAACAACAGGAACCTAAATATCTTTACAGCATCTCCACATCTACAGTAAGCTTTACAGTCAAGAAAAGCGCAATTCTTTCCATTGTTGCAGATCTCGTTGAGGTTGTACGGTGACAGGTGAAACTTGGCTTTCCAGCCTATCTGCACCTGCAGTAAGCTATAAAATGTTCCTCTAATGTCATGAAGAAATTAGCAAGATGTTTCACCCGTGTAGCTACATTTTCCCGACAGCACCAACAAAAAAACTTTCAGTCTTACTCAATTGCTATGAATAAATCCCTAATTACAATTACATTTTAAATAATTCTTCGGACACTGACGATATAACCTTAGAGCAAGGTGGTTGTGACCCACAGCCGAGAAACCATGCTTTATCCTCTAACGATTACGTGATGTCTTTCTATCGACGAACGTTAAAACTTGACAAGCGAAGCACTTCCCTGACGGTGCGGTTGTTAGCAGATTTAAACTACCGTATTTACGCATGTATAGGCCGCACATTTTTTGCCAAAAATTCAAGAGGAAAACTGGGGTGCGGCTTATATTCGAAATGTTCGAAATCACACTTCATTTAAAAAAAATTATATTCATAATTAGTAATACAGGGTGTTCTACTCCTGAAATAATATTCCAAGAAAATTATTTTTTCTATAATTTCTGTCTGAAAATTGTACTGCGGCCTATACACGTACGCGGCCTATACATGCGTAAATACGATAATTCTCATGAATAAGTGGAGATGATTGGGTTTGTAAACCATAAAATCTTTGACAACTCATAAATGCGTGAAGTGAAATATATATATCGAAATCAGGTCCTACGCGGAACGCCGTAGTTTTAACAAGATCAAATCGCGTGTAAACACATTCGCCGTAAGGGACTGCATTAACAAAAGCAGTAATCTGATAATTCTGCACTACAGACTGAGGCGATATGAAATGTAACTCGTACATAAAGGTTTCGGTTCCATATTGAGGGATCATATCTTACGCGGTAACTGCCTTCTAGAAGAAGTTACTGAAGGAAAGATAAGACGAGAAGACGAGGAAGAAGACGTAAGAAGATGCTGGATGACCTTGGGGACAGAAGAGGATATTCTCATTTGAAGGAGAAAGCTCTAGATCGCATTAAATGGAGAAATTGTTTTGGAAGAGACTGTGGACCTGTCGTCTTGACAGATTACAGATGAATGAATAATTGAGGGAACGGATGTCAATATTACTATGAACATTGGCCGTATGGTTTACTTGAGACTTAGAACAGGAGTACGTTTAAAGCAGTTTTCAGAAAGGAACTTCAAAAACCAAATATAATTCCATTTTATCTCAGAAGTGAGTTTAGCAGAACGAAATAAGATGGCATATATTAGCATTATCTGTGTGAGACTATGCAGCAGCAAGACTTTCTGATTGTATTACATGAAAATATTTTTTTTGTAAAATAATTAGATGAAATACACTGAAAAGAAACTGTTTCACCTAACTACCAGCTATACTTGACACACTACGTAGGACATTAGTAACCATTCCCATGATATGAACCATGTTTAACTGAAAGCCACCCACTCCCTATCCTCAGCCAGATTAATCAAATCAATGCCACCCCATACTATTTCTCGGAGATACATTTAATATTTCCCTTCCACCTGAGTCCAAGTCTCCCTTTTGGCTTTCCTACCAAAACTCTGCGGGGCACGCGGTAGCGTAGTTGTTTGAGGCACTATGCTACAAGCCGGAAGGTCGCGGGTTCAAGTCCCGATGAGGTCATTGGATTTTTTTTAACTGACCTTATCCTTCCAGCCGCACTATGGCCCTGGGGTCGACTCAGCCACTAACAGAAATGAGTACCAGGAATTCATTAAATAATATTCTTGGGGAGTAAAGCGCGGCCGGCGCGTAAGGGTGACAACCTTACCGCCATCTTTGAGCCGATTGTCTAGATACTGTGGGAGCCTCAACGTCTCACAACCCTATGGGCCTTCACGGCCTGGTACAGGGATACCTTTACTTCTTTTTTTTTTTTACTTGCCAAAACTCTGTGTGCACTCACCTCTTGACGTGAGCTTTCTATTTATACTTGACGAAGAGTACACGTTATGAAGCTCCACACTAGGCGACTCTTCATCCAGATATTATTATAAGATTAAAACAAGGCTGGGATGATGGGTAAGGAAGCGGCCTCCGTAGTCTAGGGGTAACGTTCCCACCTCATGACTCAAGGCACGCGGGTTCAAACCCGGCGGAGGTCGTGGAATTTTTAAGGGCGGAAAAATTCAGGGAACAAGTCCTCCGGGAGGGACTTTAAGCCGTGGGTCCCGTGTCGTAGCTTTACTGCACGTAAAAGAACCTCATGCCTCAAGGAGGCCTCTGAGCCAAATTATGAAGGACTTTTCCCGCCCAACAATAGTCTCTAACGCCTCTGGTAGATGGGGGAAGCATCTAGATACCGCTGAGCCAGTAGAGGCCGAACTCGTTGGCTGAGTCGGGACTGATGGCACGCACCAGTATCGGTAGGGTATAGAGACTGGTAGAATATCACAGGGGGACGTACAAGAGACCACTGGTCGCGGTGCATGGGGAAACGCACCCCCTCCAATAATAATAATAATAATAATAATGGGTAAGGAATGTAGACTCATAGGTAAGAAGTGCATATAAAATCTTGCTAGGAAAACCCGAAGGCATGAGACATAATCATAGATGGGAATGTTATATTTAAACAGACTTAAAGAAATAAGATGAGACTGCGTGAGCTGGACTGATCTGGCTCAGGATAAGGGCCAGTTGAGGGCTCTTGTGGACACGGCAAAGAACCTTCTTATTCTGTAAAATACTGGGTATTTCTTGAGGAGCGAAGCAAATATTAGCTTCTCAAGAAGTGCTCAGCGCCGCAGAATTCGTTAGAACAAAAGCTGAAGCCATTCCAACAGTTTCCTTTCCAGGGGTAAATCAGTGCTAGAAACGTATACACATTTGTGTGAAGCTGCTCGTGTAAACAGACAAGCGCCCCCTTTCGCTTCTCAGTTCCTTGAATTCCAAGAAATATCACGGTTGCCTTTTTTCACACCAGAGTGCTCTGCAGTGCTCAGATGTCAGCCATGTTTACACTAGTTTGTTTCATGATTACAGAGTGATACAAATCTTCTTGACATATTGCGTCTCCAGTTTACTGTTTTGTCTAAACGGTTGGTGAAACTGAGACGTATTTTAAAGATACGAGTAAAAATACACAACCTTTTTTCAAGTAAGTTACAATGAATGAACACATCTGTGTGTGTTAAATGAATCTTTCATTCGCGGTAGAAGGCAAACATTACTAAGATGTCTCGTGGACCAACGACAGGAACGTGTTTATAAAACGTCAAGTTAGAGTG